AAGAAGGGAGAAAAATAAAGAATGACCAGACAGTGTTTAAAATAGCTCAATAAGTGAGTTAAGTTAGACAGTAAGATACTAAAGAAGCTAACCTTGAACCTATGGCAACCATGAATCTAAAGCCTGCAATGGCAATAAGTACATATCTTTCAATAATCACCCTAAATGTAAATGGACTGAATGCACCAATCAAAAGACACAGAATAATAGAAGGGATAAAAAAGCAAGACCCAACTCTATGCTGCTTACGAGGCTCACCTCAAACCCAAAGACTATAGGAACAAAGAAAGACTGAAGGAACAAAACAGCAGCAGAATCATAGAACCCAAGAATGCACTAACAGTTACCAAAGGGAAAGAGACTGGGGGAAAAAGGGAGGGAAGGGAGGGATAAGGGTGGGGAAAAAGAAAGGGGACATTACGATTAGCATGTATGGTGTGTTGGGGGGCATTGGGAGGGCTGTGCAACACAGAGAAGACAAGTAGTTATTCTACAGCATCTTACTACGCTGATGGACAGTGACTGTAATGGCGTTTGTGGGGGGGAATTGGTGAAGGGGGGACCCTAGTAAACAAAACATTCTTCATGTAATTGTAGATTAATGAGAATAAAATAAATAAATTAAATAAATAAATAAATAAAAGAGAAAAATAAACCAAAAAAAAAAAATGAGCAAAGGGTTTGAGTAGACATTTCTTGAAAGAAGATATACAAATGGCCAATAAGCCAATGGAAGGATGTTTAATTTCATCATTGTTCAGGGAAATACAAATTAAAATCACAAGTTCACACCCCATAGGATGGTTATAATAAAAAAGTCAGATAATAAATAACAAGTGTTGATTAGGATGTTGAGAAATTGCAACCTTGATAAAATGCTGGTGAAAAATCATAAGCAGCCACTCTGGAAAAGAGTTTCTAAGTTCCTCAAAAAGTTAAATACAGAGTTACCATTTGACCTAGTAAATTCACTCCTAGTATATACCCAAGACAATTGAAAACATATATCCACATGAAAACCCGTACAGGAATTTTTATAGCCAAAGGTGGAAAACAATCCCAAATGTCCATTAAGTGTTGAATGAATAAACAAAATGTAGTATATCCATACAAGGAATATTATTTGGTCATGAAAGGAATGAAGTATTGATACATGCTGTAACACAGATGAACTTTAAAAGCACTACTCTAAGAGAAGAAGCCAGTCAGCAAAGACCCTACATATTATATTATTTCATTAATATGAAATGTCCCATGTCCAGAAGAGGCAAATCTATGAAAACAGAATGTAGATCAGTGGTTGCCCAGGGCTGGAGTGGATGGGGTCTTAGAGGAGAATGGGAGAGTGATAGCTAAGGGGTTTCTTTATGAGGTAATAAAAACAGTCTAAAACTGACTATAGTGATGATTACACAGTACTAAAAAGTACTGAATTTTATACCTTAAATGGGTGTATTATATTTCAATAAAGTTGTTTAAAAAAAAAGTGGTCCAATACATTTATTTCCTTTTAAAATTATGTGGGGACCTTTTGCTTACTTGCATTTTCTGATTTTTGTATAATGAGCAAGTATAGCAAATACAATAAAAAGCACATTTAGATTATTTTAATGAGTTGGATTTCAAGTTCTTAATCTTTATTTGGAGCATGGATTTCTTTGAGGATAAAAGTTATAGACTGAAAAATTCACATATAGGAAAAGTTTTAGGGGCCTCACATTCCCCTGAAGCCCCCATGTCCCCTTACAGACCTAAGGACTCCAGTTTAGATAAATGTTTTCTTACTTACAAAAGGAGACTTAAAAGCCAAACTGGCAGCAATGGTGAGAGCTGGATCCAAACAGCGGAAGATAGACCCAAACAGCATCAGTTTGCCAATTCTCACATCTACAGGCAGAGATGCCAAGTGATACCCAAGAGGGGTCAGTTTTTCATCTAGAGTTAGTGCTCCCAAGTCTCGTAATCGTATTTTTGAGGCACGGAGAGAGTCAGTGTGTGGTGGTTCAATGAGCCGAGAGAACACAGATTGGAGATTATGAGGGCTAAACATCTCTAAAATTTTGATTCTGGAAAAAGAAAACAAAATAGTTTGTCAATTTTATTTCTCGTAAAATGACACAAAACAGTATGCTTCTTTCTTGAATGAAAATATTTAATTTCCCAGATATATGCTTCATAAACCAGACGATGCTGGTTTAAGTACATTTTAAAATTAATCTCTGTGTCTTCTAGTTCTCCTAGCAATAAATTAGAGTAACACTTTATGATTCTGAAACCTATTGAGATTCAGAATAAAATTCTCTCTATAAACTTTCAAAATGTTTCTTTCTATATAACACTGCGTTCAAATTATAAAATAAAATTTATATGATCTACTTACTCTTCTCACATCAGAAATTGCATGGCAATTGTTCATGAAATTAATCTGCATTGTTCTGCCTTGTGACAGCTCTTGAAAAGCTACTATTTTAAATTGTGAATTGAAGCAATTTGCAGAAGAGAAAAATCTTATATAAAATTTATTTATTTCCCTTATAATTCCTTTTTAAGCTGTCAACCTATAAACATACATTTTACATTTTTACTAATATTTGGTACTTAGCTTTTTCCCACTTTGATCACTTATATGTTTCACTTATGCATCGAGAACAATCCACTTAGTTAAATTTCAAATGCTCCCCTATCACACACACACAAAGGATGAACCATGTTGGCCTATATAATTTACCTGCTTCCCCACTGTTGTATATTTAAGTTGTTTTTAAATCATGTGTGTTATGGGGGATGGCAGTATAGCACAGAGAAGACAAGTATTGATTCTATAGCATCTTACTATGCTGATGGACAGTGACTGCAATGGGGTGTGTGTGGGGGTACTTGATAATACAGGTTAATGTAGTAACCACAACATTGCTCATGTGAAACCTTCATAAGATTATATATCAATGATACCTTAATAAAAATTAAAAAATTAAAAAAAATAAATCATATGTGATACATACATTACATTTTCCCCTTCTTTCATCTTCCCTCATGGGTCAATCAAATTGCAAAGCTCTCTCAAACCCCTTCACTCCTCTTCATCTGCACTGTTATTACTTTAGTTCAAGGCATCTGCTTGCCCAGTCTTTTACAATCTGACTATAGACGCTTGAAAGCAGGGACTGGGTATTGTCTCCTTATCCCTAGAGCATAGCCCAACCCCTGGCAAGTGAAAGGCTCTCTAAATATACCTGCTGGGTAAAAGAAGAGCTATCACATCTCTGTATAAGTAAGTTTTTAAATTTGGGTTATTATTTCATGGACATACTCCCTCAAAGTAATGACTGGGTCAAAGGGCATGGGTAGTTTTAGAGTTCTTATATAACGCCAAGCAAATTTTCAGAAAGGTTGAACCAAAATACCCCAACTTCAGTAGCAATGAGTTTAATCATTTGTTCACTAAGTCCTATTTTAAGATATTTATTCTTGTTTGTTTATCAAGTAAATGATGGTGTTTCGAAGGTGCTTTTGTTCACTTTGTTCTGATAATGAGACTGCAGATTTTCCCCTGTGATGATTTAGTATTGGTGTTGCCTTTAGAAAAAATTTACTGATAAACTAGATTACTTTCCTGACTGCCAAATGTATTCTTAAACTCTATTTTAGGGCCATCCTCTGCAATGTAAGAGATCTTCACGTGCAGAAAGTTAGAAGGAAATGGCAAAGGGAGCACCAAGAGCCCCTTCTTTGCAAATGGATTTGTTCATCCATGTCCACTCATCAAAATGTCCTTTACTAAGAAAAGAAAACATGCAACTTAGGATGAGAAACATTTAGACCTTTCGGAAGCAGAACACAAAGATCAAGATGTACCTTAGACATAGCTGTTCCAATGGCACTCTTTGTATTTCTGGAAGCTGCTGCTTTAAAAGCTGGTGATGGAAGTGATGGCTAGTGAATAAATGGAAGCAGACCCCAGATGCAACACGGCCTGCTCGACCTTTTCTTTGTAGAGCATTGGCTTGAGAGACAAAAGTATCCTCTAGACTTTCCATTCCTTTGCTGGCATCATATCTATAAAGAAAAAGAAGATGCAAAAAAGAGTTATTTTATAAAAACATGCCAACACTCTTTAGTGTTGATAGAATAAGTGAACCAGCTTACTCTGTAAAAGGACACGGTCCTGTGTGTTCTGGGATGTTGAACATGTGGGAACACATAGTGCTGACTTAAATGGTATCAAATGCTATTACATAGTTTCTTTGTTCAACTCTTTTTAAAATTCTTTTTCATTTGCATTTATTTTTGACAAATAAAAGTTGCATATTTTTAAGGTGTACAATGTTTCAATGTATGTATATATTGTGAAATGATTACCACAATCAAACTAGTTGATACATCCACCACTTCCCATGTCAACTCTTTTTTATTCAAGTACATATAAAGCGTATGACAAAAAAGAGAGAATAACTAATTACTTCCAAGGTAAAACTATATATTTTCCATCTCCATTTGACTTAAATCCTGGGTACAGAATCATTCATATACCCATATACAGGTTTCATAGTTATTTTTTCAAACAGTAATCCATGTTGGTTAACCGCAATAGCTATTAACAGCTGTGTCACTCTAAATGAGACATCTTTAGCTCCTCTTATACACTGCCAAAAGAGAATACCTCTTTTCTTTCATTTTCCCAGAATCGATGACATAGACAACATCATCAATAGTTATGGATGTCTCGGCAATGTTGGTGGAAATTATAATCTTAGTTACACCTACAGGCGGTTTTACAAACACAGCCTGCTGCTCTTCACTGGCTAAAGATGAATGAAGTGGGTGAACAACACATCTGAAAGGAAATAACAGCACAGTTAAGTGTTCTAGCACAAAACACTGAAACTGGATCATAGTGGGTGAATTTCTATTAAAACTAACAATATGACTCCAAGTATCAAGTTTCTCCACAACCTGTTCTCAGGGTCCAACTTTTCTAAATGGGAAGGTTCTTTCTGATCTTAACAAAATATTTACTCAGTTCTATGAACTAAAAACTTGTATCAACTTGGGAAAAACTGGAGTGCAACTTAATAGTAAATAAAGAGGACTAAACACTACATCTTCTACAAGTCACAAGCTCAGAGCATGCTAACCAGCAAAGTATTATTTTTCCCCCTACCTTTAAATAGAGAGAGAGGCAGAGACAGTGATGTATAGTAAGAAACTTATTCTTATATTTCCAGGGAGTGTTCATCTGTTGAGTAGTTGTCCCCCTAGATATGATGACTCATGTCTTGCTACCAGAATAGGAGACACTGAAAATTATTTTTTCTCAAAACGGAAGCATTTCTTTGCTGTTACTAACTGCAGCTTCTCCCATCCCCCATATCTGGCCACTAAAAATACATGCAATTTGCTGAGTCACTATGCTAAGTGAAGAGAAATATTTTTATTTAATGGAATGGGAATGATTAATTTCTTGGAACAAAAAGGTTTGTCTATTTCCAACTGGCATAAATAAACATATTCTTGAGGAACGACAGCAGGGCCTAAAGAGGGTGATGACTGTCAAAGAGAACTTTCTGGTTATTCATCTTCACATATGACTGTAATAGACAATTAAGGATATAGAAAGCAATTAACTTACCGATTACTACGTCTGTTGTTGAAAAGAGAATTAGACTGTAGCTGTTCATAAAGCATTTTGATTTCTGCTAGTCCCGGTAAAAATACAAGTATAGCACCTGGGTATATAAAAAAAGTCAATCTGATAGATGCAAAAAAGAAGATGGATGTAGCTATTTTAAATGAAAAAAATAGTAATAAGTGAAAAAAATGTAATTCTCAGTGATTTTTTCACTGTTAATTTTCTTTTCTTTGTAAAGTCCCCAAGGACTTAAATGGATAATAAACAGTTTTTTATACATTTTGTGACTTAACTACAAAATGAATGGGGTATTATTATCTTCCTACAACAGGAAAAACTGAAGTGTGGAAAAATATAATGACCTAAGTTATACAAAAATCATTAGTGAAGGTCTTTAAAGCTCTTTGGACATACTTTTTCAGTGTACTGGCCACTAACATTTTGTTTCTATAGGAAAAGCTATTCTTTTAATCTTATAAAACAGGAAGACTCTTCTGTGAGTAAATAAAACCATAAACACTTTACGGGAAATGAGAAAAAGAAACTATAATTGGCTGGCTGACCTGGTAATCTAAATTCAGCTATCTGTTAAACAGGCAGCACATTAACTGTGCCATATTAATGGTTTATGGGCTTTTAAATTTTAATCAAAGAAAATAAACAGTGACAACTGATTATAGTGTATTTCTGTACCTAGAGCAGTCAGCAATAGTCAACTTCTTTTGTGTTCTAGACAGAGAAGAAATTGACATCATCTTCACAGCCCCTCCTTAATCCCACAAATATTTATTGAAAGCCTATGTCAGCTCTGGGCTAGGTACAACGGAATACAGAAGAAAGATCTGTTCACAAGGAACTCATGGCCTATTATTTATCACAGTTATTCTAATAAGTAAGGAAACTAAATTATTACAAAAATGGGACTCTGAAGAATGAAGGACAAAAACGAAGGTTGGTTTTTACACTCTTAAAATGGATCAGTAGTTAACTTGGCCAGGTCACAGAGTCAGTAACAGTGGAGCTTGGACACAAACCTTGGGTTTCTGGCACCATCCCCATGCTCTTTCCATTACATACTGCATGCTCCTTTCTACTAAAATACCACAAAATTCAAGAGTGGAAAAATAACCTAAAATAACCTATGTGAATAGAAAAACTATTTTTTTTTTGAGAGGGCATCTCTCATATTTATTGATCAAATGGTTGTTAACAACAATAAAATTCTGTATAGGGAAGTCAATGTTCAATGCACAATCATTAATCCACCTAGAAAAACTTTTTTGTCTACATTTTATGTGCCTCCTAATCTACTCTGCCCTCATGGGTTGGCCATCTGTATCAAGGATATCTTTAGTACTCACAAATGTATCACAGAGTCCTTAACTACTATATCTACTCTGCTTTGAAGTCAGATAATTTTCTAGTGTTTCTTTTTATCTGCTATGCTTGATTTTTATCAATAATAGTTTCTTCCTTTGAGATGAAACAAGATACTTAGTCCAGTGATAATGCATTAGCCAACACTGACTACTTGTCAAGAGATGAGAAAAGAGGCGCTGCAATTCTTTTATGTGGCTCACACACCTCTTTAGAAAGTATCACATAATGATTAAAATCTAAGCAGAGGAGGGCAGCCATTTCCACTTCTCTATACATTGTGTAGTGAGCACTTAATATAAATGTTTGAACTACTAGTCAACTTAATAACAACCAACATTGGCTGTATCTATTCATGCAACACATATTTATTCTGTACTTAAATATTCCAGGCACTGTTCTAGGCTCTCAGCAATACAGTAGTGCACAAGAAATCCTCATTCTTAAGGAGCTTACATTCTATTGAAGGAAACTGTCAGTAGGCAGAAATCTTATTTTTGGATAGTATTTAGTGCTATAATGAAAATGAAAATCATTTTTGGATATTATGACAGAGGAAGTGTGAGTGTAGGGGGGCAGGAAACAACAGATAGAGTGGTCAGAGAAGACTTCACTGAAGAGAAGACATTTGACAGAAACTTGAATGATGATAAGGATTCAGTTATGTGAATGGGGCATTCATTCTGGGGATAATGGACTGTAAGTGATTTTAAGAACCTCACAGTGAACAGAGGGAAGTAGCAACTACCCTGTGTTATAGTACTATAAGTATTAGTGCTAATAACAATAATAATGACATTAAATAGATTATCATTATTAGAGGTAATATCTACTGGGCATTGACTATTTGTTGGGTGCTGTGCTAAGTGCTTCAGATATGGTTACTTTCAGTCCTCAAAATAGCTTTTCTAAGGCAATCTATTATTGTCTTCATTTTATAAGCAAGGAAAATGAGGCATAAAAAGGATAAGGACTTTATCGACTGTTACAGAGTTCCTGAGTAGCAGAGCTCAGAAGTTTGTCAGACTCCAAAACCAGTTCTCTTATCCCCACTGCCTTGTGGCCTCCACATGCAGAGTCTCAATGTGATTCAAACACTCATTACTAGAACCCCAATTAGCCAGGGACTAAATGTTCAGATGTGCATTATCCAGGCCTTCTTTTCAGCTTTCTTCCTTTTGGACTTCGTTTGTCAGTAATTTTTGTTCACTGGAAACAAAGAGTGCTGGACAAAAAGAATGGGTGAACCTCAAAATGTAAAAGGTAAGATTTCCCTGAGAAGCCTAATCAGCAACTTTATACATAACTGGGGTGAAAAAGTAGGGGAGGGGGCTGGGACTCCAGGAAGGGAGGTTGTGCCCACAGTGCCCATTATCTCAGTAAGTAAGCTCCTTTCCCTTTTGCCATCTCACACATAAACGAAGGCCAGAAGCATTACCTGGAGGGTAGGCGTGCTTTCCACTTACAATCCATTCCAACAAGGCCTCTATTAATTCAAGATTAACCTTTTCAAAATCCATGATAGACATTGTTTTGATGACTGACTTATTAACCCCTGAAAGAAAGGTAAAAATCAGGATAATTGTGCCCTATTGAAGACAATATGCCCGTGGGCTAGGTGAGTATCTTGATTTAACTTAATAACAGATATTCCCATTTAGTGTACTGAATGTTCCCATTTAATGCAATGAAATTTTTTTTTCAGTTTCTCAGAAAATACAAGCTCACTAGTAGGATGTTTTCGCTTGAATAATGACTCTAAGAGAGGGTTCCTGACTCTGCCGGAAATGCCCAGATAAGCTGCTTTTCCCTCCTTCTTCTCCTTCTTTTATCCATCACACATTTATTGACACTTTACATCCTAGAACAAAATTCAAGGTCAAGTACATTTCAGAAATCCCTTCCAGATTCAGCCAAATCATGAGTTAGTTCAGATGGAAGTCCAGGTTATAGTAACCCAGGGAAATCAACAGAAAGAGACCATAACTTTCATCAGCATCTTTACAACAGTGATGCTTAACTGTAGTCTCCTTTGGGAAAATAATAAAAGTTAGGAATCTTCCCTGAAAAATACGTATGGTTTTACTGGTTTCATCAACATGCCTGAAGTCTGTCCATTGATTTTCAGGTTAAGGATCTGCAACTCCTTCTAATTTATGAGGCCTAATTAAAGATACACTTTTCTGAGTTGTACTATAAGCCTCAGCTTTTTTTTTTTTTTTAGGTTAAGGATCTGCAACTCCTTCTAATTTATGAGGCCTAATTAAAGATACACTTTTCTGAGTTGTACTATAAGCCTCAGCTTTTTTTTTTTTTTTAAGTATCATTGATGTACAATCTTATGTTGGTTTCAAATACACAACACAGTGGTTCAACCATTACCGATATTATCAAATCCTCACCCCCTCCAGTGCAGTTACTATCTTTCAACATAGTAAGATGTTACAGAATCATAAATTGTATTCTCCGTGCTGTACTACCATCTCCATGACCTACTTATATTGTGATTATGAATTATTGTGTCCCTTAATCCCCTTCTACCTCCCCCACCATCCTTCCCAACTCCTCTCCTTGGTAACCACTAGTTCTTTCATGGCATCTGAGTCTACTGCTATTTTGTCCTTCTGTTTTGCTTTGTTTTTATATTCTACAAATAAGTGAAATCATTTGGATATTTGTCTTTCTCCACCTGGCTTATTTCACTGAGCCTAATACCCTCTATATCCATTTATGTTGTTACAAATGGGAGGATTTCTTTTCTTTTTATGGTTGAATAATATTCCATTGTATATATATACCACATCTTCTTTATCCATTCATCTATTGATGGACACTTAGGTTGCTTCCACATCTTGGTAAGCCTCAGCTTTTTAAGAACAAATAGTGTATGGGAGAATATAGTCATAAATGATTTATCTGATAAGGGGTTAACATCCAAAATATATAAAGAACTCATAAGCCTCTATACCAAAAAAACAAATAACCTGATTAAAAAATGGGCAGAGGACCTGAATAGATATTTTCCAAAGAAGAAATACAGCTGGCCAACAGACACAGGAAAAGATGCTCTACATTGCTAATCTTCAGGGAAATGCAAATCAAAACCACAATGAGGTATCACCTCATAACACTTAGAATGGCCACTATCCAAAAGACAAAAAATAACAAGTATTGCAAGGATGTGGAGTAATGGGAACCCTCATACACTCTTGGTGGGAATGTAAATTGGTGTAGCCACTGTGGAAAGCAGTATGGAGGTTCCTCAGAAAGCTTAAAGTAGAAATACCATGTGACACAGTTATCCCAGTTTTAGGAATTTACCTGAAGAAAACAAAATACCTGATTCAAAAAGATAAAAGCACCTTTTGTCTATTGCTGCATTATTTACAATAGCCAAGATATGTTCATCAATAGATAAATGGATAAAGAAGATGTGGTATATATACACAATGGAATATTATTCAGCCATAAGAAAGAAAGAAATCCAGCCATTTGCAACAACATGGATTGACCTAGGGGGTATTATGGTAATTGAAATAAGCCAGGTAGAAAGATAAATAAATACCATATGATTTCACTTATCTGTGAAATCTAAAAATAAAACAAAACAAGATGGACAAAATAGCAGTAGACTCATAGACACTGAGAAGCGACTGGTGGTTACCATAGGGGATGGGTTGGGATAAGCGGTGGGAGTGGGAGAGGGATAGAGGGGCACAAAAATTCTCAGTTATAAGTTGGATAGTAGTACAGCATGAAGACTATAGCCAATGATACTGTGACATCTTCAATGTTCACAGAGAGTAACTGTACTAGTTGGGGTGAGGATTTAATAATGTGGATAACTGGCAAACCACTGTGTTGTATAGTTGAAACTAATACAAGATTATATGTCAACTATACTTCAATTAAAAAAAAGATAGATAAATAAGTAAATAAAATAGCATATTCTTGGGGAGACAAACTCTCCAGACACTGCTGACCTTTCTCCTCCTAATGCCCATTACCCTAAATACAGTCTAACTGGAACAAAATAAGTGTAGTTGGTATCACGGAAGGGAAGCTTCCTACATTATGCTGAAAAGTTTGAAGAAAAGCAAAAGCAGTTTCCAAACAATGTTTTTCTGGCATAGTGAATCCTGTGTAGGTAAAAAATGAAGGAAAGGAAGAAATAGGCAACACAAATAGGGTGTGGTTGGGAGTGGAAGTCAGAGAAGGAATCTTGGCAAAATTCTTATTTGCTAAGATTCCAAGTAGCCAGATTTTTCAAAAAGTGGAAAGGATAAACTGACTGAAAAAAGAGAGAGAAGTGAAAATAAATTTTTAAAAAATTGTAATAGCTTGGCATTTTTTAATAATTAATACTTAAAAGGACTATCATTCTTTTTTTTCTTTCTTTTCCTTTTGGTATCATTAATCTACAATTACATGAGGGACATTATGTTTACTAGACTCCCCCACTCACCAAGTCCCCCCTACATACCCCTTTACAGTCACTGTCCATCAGCATAGTAAGATGCTATAGAATCACTACTTGTCTTCTTTGCCTTGTATAATACTCCCCGTGCCCCACTCCTACATTATGTCTGCTAATAGTAATGCCCCCCATCTTTTTTTTCCTCTTATCCCTCCCTTCCCACCCATCCTCCCCAATCCCTTTCTCTTTGGTAACTGTTAGTCCATTCTTGGGTTCTGTGAGTCTCCTGCTGCTTTGTTCCTTCAGTTTTTCTTTGTTGTTACACTCCACAGATGAGTGAAATCATTTGATACTTATCTTTTACCACCTGGCTTATTTCACTGAGCATAATACTCTCTAGCTCCATCCAGGTTGTTGCAAATGGTAGGATTTGTTTTCTTCTTATGGCTGAACAATATTCCATTGTGTGTATATACCACATCCTCTTTATCCATCTACTGATGGACACTTAGGTTGCTTCCATTTCTTGGCTATTGTAAATAGTGCTGTGATAAACATAGGGGTGCATGTGTCTTTTTCAAACTGGGCTGCTGCATTCTTTGGGTAAATTCCTAGGAGTGGAATTCCTGGGTCAAATGGTATTTCTATTTTTAGTTTTTTGAGGAACCTCCATATTGCTTTCCACAATGGTTGAACTAATTTACATTCCCACCCAGCCGTGTAGGAGGGTTTCCCTTTCTCCACATCCTCGCCAACATTTGTTGTTGTTTGTCTTTTGGATGGTGGTGATCCTTACTGGTGTGAGGTGATACCTCATTGTGGTTTTAATTTGCATTTCTCTGATGATTAGTGATGTGGAACATCTTTTCATGTGCCTGTTGGCCATCTGAATTTCCTCTTTGGAGAAGTGTCTGTTCAGATCCTGTGCCCATTTTTTAATTGGATTGTTTGCTTTTTGTTTGTTGAGGTGCATGAGCTCTTTATATATTTTGAATGTCAAGCGTTTATCGGATCTGTCATTTATGAATATATTCTCCCATACTGTAGGATGCCTTTTTGTTCTATTGATGGTATCCTTTGCTGTACAGAAGCTTTTCAGCTTGATAGAGTCCCACTTGTTCATTTTTGCTTTTGTTTTCCTTGCCTAGGGAGATATGTTCATGAAGAAGTTGCTCATGTTTATGTCCAAGAGGTTTTTGCCTATGTTTTTTTCTAAGAGTTTTATGGTTTCATGACTTACACTCAGGTCTTTGATCCATTTCGAATTTACTTTTGTATATGGGGTTTGAAAATATTCCAGCTTCATTCTCTTACATGTAGCTGTCCAGTTTTGCCAACACCAGCTGTTGAAAAGGCTGTCATTTCCCCATTGCATGTCCATGGCTCCTTTATCATATATTAATTGACCATATAAGTTTGGGTTAATATCTGGACTCTCTATTTTGTTCCTCTGGTCTGTGGGTCTGTTCTTGTGTCAGTACCAAATTGTCTTGATTACTGTGGCTTTGTAGTAGAGCTTGAGGCTGGGGAGCGAGATCCCCCTGCTTTGTTCTTCCTTCTCAGGATTGCTTTGGCTATTAGGGGTCTTTTGTGGTTCCATATGAATTTTAAAACTATAAGTTCCAGTTCATTGAAGAATGATGTTGGTATTTTGATAGGGATTGCATTTAATTTGTAAATTGCTTTAGGCAGGATGGCCTTTTTGACAATATTAATTCTTTCTAGCCAAGAGCATGGGATGAGTTTCCATTTGTTAGTGTCATTATTTTTTGACTAGAAAAAGTTTTCAAAATTGAGTTCTGGAACATTATTTAATTTTCTGAAAAGTAGAAGAGAGCACTGAGATAAACTGATGAAGCCTTTTTACAACAAGGAAAGGGAGGTTCACAGAAGCCAAGTAATCTGCCCAGCAACAGCCAGAAACTACTGGCAGAGACAGGTTTCCTGACCTCAAATCCTCTATCCTCTTTCCTTAGAAAGGAGTTCTCAGAAAGTACTTTCTGACCTTTGGTAACCTCTATTCTTGCAGTGAGAAAGGCATGGCTTAGACCCCGTCGTAATTCTTAAGAAAATTCCTAAATATTAAAGGAGAAACCAAAGGGATTTCCTGTTCCATAATTTAATAAAGTAAATGGGAATTATCAGTTGGTATGCTGTACAGAAAGAAGAGAAACTTTAGAATCAGACATATTTTAATCAGAATCACAAATGTGCACTTACTGCCTGGGCACTATATATTATCTAACATAATCCTCTAAATAACTCCATTTTATAGATAAGGAAATAGAGCTATAGAGAGGATAATGAAGTTGCTGAAGATTATGCAGCTGGTTTTATGAGAGCCTGGGGAGTTGAACCCAGGTCTGTAAGATGCAAGTATAGACTTTCAACCCTTTTTCTCACAATGTTGGGAGAATTAAGTGAAAAAATGTTTAGGAGCTATGCATATCTTCCTAAACAACAATGGCTAATGCCCGAATTCCTTGATATTTACCATTTCCCATGCAGGATTGGGACTAGAGTCTTCTCTATAAGTATAAGGAGAAAAGGGAAACCCACTTTCCTCTTTCCCTACATAAGCAGTAACAGAGGGTTGGAGGCTCTTACTTCTTGAAAGTAAACACTTTTTTCTCAGAAGTACTAAGGAGTTGGGTAGCTGTTGAGGGAAGGAGAGCAGGAAGAGCAACTGAGACCTGTCTCTGGTCTAGGCTTTAAGGAAGACAGCAAAAGTAGTAGTCTTGGATTTTCTATGGCTTTAGCCCAGCCAATACATATAGAAGACTATTTAGGAACAAAGAATAGCTAGGTTGGGTCTTGCAGGGCAGGAGAGAGCTTCTAACAACATATATAAAAATGCTCAGCACAGGGTGGACCCTCAAAAGATGTTATTTGAAAAGTCCACGAGTAATACTAAAACTAGTGGGTAAAATTTTGAAGTTATTATAGGGTATTTATATAGTCTCAAATACCTTTCCACAAATGACTTATTAAATACAGAGAGAATAAACAGTAACTACACAGGGGAGAAACCTAGCTGACATCACCTTAACCCACTGATCAAAGTTAACACCCTAAATAATAGGACAAATCAACATCATGTGCCTCCCGATAATGATGTACTGAAAAGGACTCAGGATTGTTTCTGTAGTTTTCTAACCAAAAACCCATCACCCAAGTTTACGCATGGGGAAACATTAGACAAAATCCAAATGGAGGGACATTCTACAAATAACCTGCCCAAACTCTTAAAAATTATGAAAGTTATGAAAGAAATATAAAGGCTGGGGAATTTTTCTAGATCAAAAGAAATTAAAAACATTGGTGACTGAATACAATATGTAATCCTGAGCTGGAACCTGGACCAGAAAAAAATAGCAATAAAGGACATTATTGAGATAATTGGCAAAATTAGAATATGGACTGTGGATTAGATAGCAGTATTGTTATCAGTTAAATGTTGCTATTTTGATAATTTTTTATGCTTATGTAAGAGAATGTACTTCTTCCTAGGAAATAAATACTGAAATATAAGGGGCTAAGGGGAATCATATCTGCAACTTACTCTCAAGGGGGCTCAGGAAAAAATAATATTTGCATGAACACAGAGCAAAGGATAAAACAAATGAGGCAAAATATTAGTAATTAGTGAATCAGTGAAAAGAATATATGACAGTTCATTGTATAATCTTGCAAACTTTAATTCTGAATTTGAAATCATACCAAAATAAAAAGTTACAAAATACTCAGGAATATAATTTATATTTTACCACCTCCCACATTTTCAATAAAGAAGACATTTCTTTCATAATCAGAAAAAAAACCCATTGGTAAATAAATAACAATTATAATTTAACATGTGTTTGAACTTTCCTTCTAAGTTTAAGGTTGTTCTGATAAATTAAAGACAATGTAGCAATGAAACAAGAGCTGTATTTGTGTTCCTTTCAATTAGGTGGAGGGAAAAACTACTTATGTTTGGCATAATTATAGCATTTCCCCAGGAGCACATTACCTTTATAGCGGGCCAGGAGTTGCTTAAAATCTAACTGTTGATCTGGCACTGCATCTTTGACAGAATCCTGATCCTGGAGGTGAAGGGAGAGCCTCAGATCTTCCTCCACTTCTTCAAATGCAGTTCTGTTGCGCCTAGCTTTAAGCTTCTCCTTTGACATCTGTTTCATGGAGCGCATATATGGGCTCCCATCCTGCAACACATACCTGAGGAGGGAAGACAGAAGAATGTGTCTGTGTGTATGTGGGTCTGTTGGTGAAGAGCAAATATATTCACCTATTTAATGTGCTTATTCAGCAGAATGTTCCCCTGTTTCTGCCAAATTCATGGGCTATTCTTCCACCAATTAGGGGTTCTGCTGGCCCCCTAGTGCCAGCTTACCCTATTTCTAGTGGGGAAAACATTGGAATGGTTTTGGCTGTCTTGAGATAATTCTGGAGGCAGTGAGTTTGAAAAAGTGAAAGAATAAAGACATGTATACTAGTTGAAAGATGATTTCCCCAGAGAGTCACATTCAGAGAAGTGGGATAGGGCCCAGAAAATAACAATTGTAATAAGTTCCCTAACTTTGCTTATTGCACATTAAAATTTGATAGCCATGGCTTTTGGGTTTTTAGGTTGAGAATATTGTACCACTAAATAAATACAGAATTAGGAAGCAGGCTTATTAGAAATGGAAGGAACAAGGAGGAGAAAAATTCTGAATTTAAGGTGTCAGATATCAAGGGTGTTTTCATTCTGGTGCTCAGACATCAAGAAGGAAGATACTGATCTGGGAGGTCACGGCACAGAAGTGAGAGCTAAAATCACATGAGGCCATGAGAGTGAAGGGAGAGTTTAACAGTGAGAAGAAACAGTGCAAGGATAAAAACCTGGGCAATCTTCAAGCTCAAAGAATAGGAAGAGGAAGCAGGGCTTTCAAAGGAGAGAAATTAGTTTGCATCCAACAGACGTTACCATTTTCTACCCAGTACTAACATTCTAGACATCTTACACTTATATTATACAGTAAACTCCCTGGGGTAAAATAAGGGTGATAATAATAGTTAACATTTATTAAGTACTCACCATGTGGCAGGCACAGTTTTAAATACTTTGCAAGTATTAATTCCAAGTATTTATTAATCTTCATAACAACCTTGTAAGCAGCTACTATTAATAAATCCATTTTACATAGATATAACTGAGTCACAGTGAGATTAAACTACTCAACAGTGTTATGGTTAGTAAGAAGAGTGATTTAAATGTTGGTAGTCTGTCTGCAGAATCAGTACTCTACTTTTTTTTTAGTTAAATTCTCCATATATTTGGTTCTTTGTCATTTTTTAATACACTTTATTTTTTAGAGCAGTTTTAGGTTCCTTTCAAAATGGAGCAGACATACAGAGACTTTCCATATACCCTCTGCCCTGACAAATGCATAGCCTCCCCCACTATAAACATCCCTCACCAGAGTGGTACAATTGTTACAACTGATGAATCTACATAGACACATTATCACCCAAAGTCCATAGTTTACATTAGGCTTCCAGAGCCAGTACTCTTAACATACAATATTACCTGTGAATTGCAATTTGTATAGTAAATATTTGCTGCAAGAAAGGGGAAAACAAAATGTTGAAATAGAAAAATTAGGGAAAAAATCCACATTTATTAATATCCTGGCACACTGATGTAAAATAATAATTTCTGGTTCTGAAACACCAAAACTTAATCAACATCTTCCTTACCTTGTCACAGCAATTGCATCTTCCAGAAAAAATTGATCAACAGGAAATGTACGACCTAGAAAAAAAGGAATTAAATTGGAAAGTCTCAGAATACTTGCTCAACTATCTCAAAACAGGTAAAATTCTCTTAAAGCTTGGCATAATAAGGTACTATCTGTTCTGCGGTCTTAAAAGTATCACACACAAAAAAGTTTTTGTTTACAGAAATTAGAAGGGATGGATTCCAGTTAGTAAAGAGAACAAGTGTATAAATAGAGAGGTCATCATCTGCTAATGGATTTTTAACCTCTTTTTTTTTTCAACCTGTAAAATCTTTCCCACCCATCCCTCCTGCCTTACAGGAGACCTTTAAACAATCAGCAATTGTATTCTAGATTAAGCATATGGCTTCTTTAAATCTATTGTCAATGTTCTCTATAACTAGAGCAGATAGTACTATTATTCATCCATCAGTGCTTCTAAATTGTCCCTTTGGCAATCAATTGCAGGAGGATAAACCAAAGCCTAAGGTAAATTAATCCCACAGTGAAAGACCAAAGAAGACGCAGACTATCCAACTGCACTTTCTCCCAGAATGGGACAAAATCGAGAAATTAGCAAAATCCAGCAATGAACAAATATGCTATACATAGACACAACTTCCTTCTTTATGACAGATTACCATTATAAACCCACATTTCAATGTTAAACACAAATGAAATGCTAGAAATTTTAACAACCTAGACTTTCCTCAAAAGTATACAAAATTGAAATCTCCCAGCAAATGGGTACAATGTAACCTCTTTATTAATTTCATTATATGGCCATGATTTTATTTATTATAACTAACCACTCCTCTAGAAAGAGGTATAAATACCTAATAATTAATATCTCAAATGAACTTTCAAATAATTTGATTAGAACAATGCATATTTAATCATACATTTTAATCACCTGGTATAGTAATAACTGGGCAGGAATTGAAATAGTCTGAAAAGAGTTCAGCGTTTAAAGTTGCACTCATTAGAATAACTTGAAGAGTCGGCCTCTGCAACACAATGTCTTTCAAAACTAGCAGCAAGAAGTCACTGGAGGAAATAAAAGAAACACCTGAAGATCAAACAAATTCAATAGGTGAAAATGAGTAACTTTTGATGTACTTTAGCAAGGCATGTATAAAACACATGAAAAAAATTATAAAATCCATAAAGATGTGTCATATTCCTAGATGTGAAGACTTAATATTATCAAGAATCAATTCTCCCCCATATGCTTAGTTCAGTGTACTAACAATCAAAATACCAGTATGACCTATTATTGCATGTGATAATCCATATACATATGAGTATGAGGCATATATCAAGATTTTCATTATAGCATTGTTTGTAATAGTAAAACAATGGAAACAACCTAAATGTCCATAAACCAAGAAGTGGTAATTGTAAAAAAAAAAATCATCCACTCTATGGAATAACATGTAGCAGATAAAAGGTAAAGGGTAGAGCTCTAGATACTGTGCTGAAAATATCCCTAACACATACTGTTAGTGAAAAACGCCCAAAAAACCCAAGCTGTAGAATGTTATGTAGTGTAGCATAGCAATATCCTAACTGGTCTCTGTGCTTCAGCCCTTGCCCCCTTGCAATCTATTCTCAATATACAGAAGATCAATAATTTTGTTCAGATGAAAATCTTCTCATGCCACCCTTGTGCTCATAATCCTTCAATAACTTATGAAACTTTTCACTAACAAGTTAGGCCCTATATGATATGTCTGCACCACTCATTTCTTACTGCTCTCTACCTTATTTACTCAGCTCTAGCCACACTGTCCTTGTGTCCCTGAAGCATGTATCTTGGGTCCTTTGCACATGCTATCCACCTACCTGCAGTAAGCTTCTCCCAGACATTCACACAGGTAGCTTCCTCATTTCCTTCAACTCATTACTCAAAGATTATCTTTTCAACAAGCCCTTTCCTGTACACCCTATTTAAAAAGTTCAAATGCTCTCCTCTCTTGCATTTCACATCACCCTTTCTTTTCTTAGCACTTAACATACTTTATATTTTACTTATTTATCTCGCTTACTGTTGGGCTCACCTATTAGAATATAAACTCTGTAAGGACAAGGATTTTGGTCTCTTTTGTTCACTACTCCAGTAATCCAGAACAATGCATGGGACATAGTAGGTCTTTCACTGACTTACAAAATGCATGTATCATTTGTGTAAAAAAGAAAAGGTCAGAAAACAAAAAGTACCTATTTCTAGCCAAGTAAACATAGAAAACAGTGTATAGAAGGACACATCACCAATCTGACACCACAATTAACTCTGGGGAAGGGACTGGGAATGGTTTGGGAGTGTTAAGGGGGACTAATACTTTATTTCTATTGCTTGAATTTTTAGTAAGAGCACATTCTTGTACTATTTAGTTCTCTTTAATTTAATGAGCTAATTTAATTACTTTTATGACTATTTTCTTTTTTAGGGAAAAGACAAATATAATTTATGGTACATGAATACTTTAGAATTTCTTCATGCAATTATTAATAATAATTACAAAGACAGTTCATGCTATCATGTTAACTGTTGGATAAAAAGCAGTACATAAAACTATATAATCCCAATAGTGTTTGTGGAGATACATCTCTCTACCACTTCTCTCCACTAACTCTGAATACAATTAACAGACCAAAATTATAACATGTTATCAGTAATTTTATAGGGAACAGAAATTATTCTTCTTGACATTCTGATATTTTCTGTTTAGAGTAATCATGTTGTTATCTCTGTGATCAGGAAATTTATTAAAAATTTTAAACACAACTGTAACTTTTCTATATTCATCCTTTAATCTTGACTATATTTTTACTGATATTGGTTCCTACTTCTTTCCCAAAGATTGGTATTTGTAAATCACTGAATCTCCCTCTTCCAGTGTGCAATTTATTACTTAAATGTGAAAAATGTTTTGAATTTTTAATTGTTGATATTCTACAGGTCATCAGGCTTTATAAATGCCTTTTTCTTTTTGAGAATACTATTGCAGCCAAAAACCAAATCCAGTACTATCCAGTGTCCCTGAGTTTGTGGAATTATAAATGTTATGAAACCCAAAGCTACTCTTCATATTCAAAACTGCACTGTATATAATTTCCCCTAAATCTTTTCATTTATTTTTATAATACAATCATTTAAATATTATTAGTCTGATTGGATGATTTATTTGAACAATCTCTTCCAAGTTCAGTGATTCTGTTAAAAAAATTTTTTCTTCTTTCAAATGTTGATTTGAACATTTAGCTGCAAAATGACATCATTTACTTTTTTCCCCACTCTTTTCTGGAAACTTTATAAAAAGATTACTATTACTTGCCCTCAAATATTTCCAGTGTTTTCTATATAGTAATTCAAAAAGTATTATTGTTTTATTCTAGGCATTATCTTTTTTCTTTTGATCTATTCTTTTTATGTGAAACTCTGCTTTTCTTTATTTTCTTATTATTTCCTATTTACCAGTATTATAAATGTATTTATTTCTTCTCATAGTCTTCTGGTGCAATGTCTTCCCTGCTCAGTTCTTAAAAACATTTTATCAGCAATAGCTGAAGCCTCTTTTCACATGTGTTTTGTTTTTTTTACTTTGCTATTAGCTATTTTCAGCTTTTCTGTCAGATTGCCAGCTTTACTTAGATTTTCCTTTCTTCTTTTCAAGATATTTATAACAGCATAGTCTTTTTTTGGGAAAGCTTCATAATTTTCATTGGGTCATCTCTCTTTTCTCCCACTAGTGTTCTTTTTTTTATTGCTCTAGAGCATGATCTACATGAGAAAAGCTATGATTAATGCCATCTATTTCCCTGGGCCTTTTTTTAAATACTGAGAATTCTGATTTTATGCCTCAACCCTTAAATGACTTTTAATTCCATTGCAACAAAATGCAGTGCTTTGTTACACATGGTGTATAAGGCCCTAGAAGGTCTGGTTTCTGCTTTTTCCACCTGCCACTTACCCGCTCACTTACTACATACCAGATGCACTGGCCTTCCTCCAGTTTCTGGACTCAAGAAGCCCTTCCCCACTGTAGAATCTTTGTGAATGTTGGCCTTTCTTGCCCCCATTTGTCACATAGGACTCCTTTTCATACTGCAGTGTTACTTTAAGTGTCATCTCTTCTGATATCTGATCTCTAATAATCTCATGGACCTCTCCCCCCAAATACAGCATCCTATTTGTTCCTTCATGATACATTCTCCAATTTGTAATTATTTGTTTACTTGTTCATTGTTTTTCCTCCCAGACCATAAGAGATAAAGGGGTACATTATATGCTTGTTCACTATAGTATCTCCAGCAATTAAAAGATCACTTGACACTTAATACAGGCTCAATAAACACACAAATAAATGCTAGGACTGAATGATCGACCAAACGAGCAAAGAAGGAAGCACATATTCACCAATCCATCGCTACAGCATGTATTATATCTGTTATTTCTGCTAAGTACAGTGCCCAGCTCAGCATGGTGATCAGAAGGGGATTAAGTATCTCCCATGAGACAAGGTCCATCTAACAGGATGACTCTTCTAGTGAGGAACATGGGCTTTCCTAGCATTTTTAGTATTACAGATTCTGCAGATCAGGAAAGTAGTTTCTCTTCTCTAACGTAGGCCTTCCCTATAGCCTTCTTTTCCAGCCCTATGAAACTGAATTGGAAGCAGAACAAAATTCTTTCAGCTGTGTCTTCATTTTATGTGTGTGGTTATTCATTTGGAAATCTTTGTTTTACCTTTCTTCTGTCCTCTCATGAACTTCATCAACAATGATATGGGTGACTCCTTGCAGAGCTGTATCTCCTTCTAGCCTTCTTAGCAACACTCCAGTCGTGCAGTATAACAGCCTGGTGGCTGAGGACTTGCATATAAAAGGGCATAGAAAGCACTTATGAAATTTTTGAAAAAAAGGAAACTGGCAAAGCCATTTTGAATGGATATAGAATATTGAAATTACCAGTAGTTTCATTTAATATGAAACCATACTGAACACAGAATTTCCTGCTGGTGACAGGACAAGTTTTCTGCTTCATATCAAAATTTTAAATTTAAGACTCATAAAAAGCATTCAAAATTTATTATGAAACATAAAAACAATGAGTGATGAAATCAATTCTGTCCATTCCTGATTTGGTTAAATGGACCATGTCCCAGGTTTAAGAGTAGAAGCATTTACTGGATCACTTAGTCTTTATAGAGGAAACTAAGTACACTCAAATAAGAACTCTTAGAGTTCTTCTACCAAAACACTTCTAAAAAGACTATAGCCCTACTGAGTTGCCAATGAATCTCCAGACTCCAAAAAGTCTTTATATTTGAAAATGGTAAATTTCTGTTATCAGGAAAAGAGCAGAGCATACAAACCTTGACACTTTCTAACCGGATCTGGTATCCCACAGTCAGACCTACTCTTTCTACTCTTTCTTTAGCAACACGTTCAGCGACTGAAATTGCAGAGATTCGTCGGGGTTGGGTACAGATGATGTTAGCCACCTTCTCTGGTGGCCCGGTCAAAGAATCATCCAGAATAAACTGTGGAATCTGTGTGGTTTTCCCACATCTGCATGTCAAAACAAATAAGTCCTAAAATGAGAGTTTTCAAATGCTAGTTAATCAGAGAAGCAATCAAATGCAATGAGGAAAGCGAGAAAGCTAAAAGTTGTTCAGTTTCATCTATCTTCTAGACCTGGCTACTGACTTACTACCTACAGCTGATAACTCTTAGGAATTTGCACTCAGATTAACAGGGCGATCAAATTAATACTTTAGTGTCATTTGTAAAATTGGTACTGTTGAATAAACACTAGGTAAGGTCTATAAGTGCCTCTAGGAATATGAACTCTACATATGAATCTCAAAGAAAGAGGAGTATTATCTTATTGCTATTCAAATACTTCATATTTTTCCCCTCTGATGTGTACTGATTTGGCTATAAGTGGACTGAGGTTAAATAACAAGACAAGAACTGAAAAATAAAAAGTTACTATATTATCAGTGAGTCTGGGCACAAATGTAATAATTAGACTGAATACAGAACTAAAGTAAGTCTGCCACTTGTTCCTGCTAAATAGGTTTGGATTAACATATGGGAAATGTGAAACAGGAAAAATAATGTACTCTAAGTCGTTCTTAAAAGAGCAAATAAAAAAGCTCTAAGGAAATCAGAATAAAATTAGAAGATGAAAAGATTTTTAAGCTAAATGCTATGGAACTACCCTTTACATTCTAAAATGGGCCTTATTAAAAGCTTTCAGCTAAGCCTTTTGCCTTAAAATTATCTCAAGCCAGAGGTGTACAATATTTATAAATTCCTGGATGGATTTCTGAATTTTGTTGTTTTTTGCAATTTGGCTCTTTTAGCTACAAATGCTGCAATATTAAGCTCTGTTTTAGAGCCTAATAAATATATTACTTGATATTTGACAAGAAAAAGCTCAAAGAATACCATCTACTGTTTTATTTTGAAAAGTATAGCTGGTTATAGGAACAAGGGTACATACCCTATTTACAGATGAAAGCTCCATTACAAATAAATTGCATTCTTACCCAGTCATACCACTTATAACAAGCACTTGATGCTTGCTCAACAATTTAAGAATGGTTTCCCTTTCTTCCCAAGCAGGGAGTGATTGCCTTTCTTGCAGAATTGACTGGAATTGTCTGGAAGCCTAATAATATAAAAGATAAGGCATCAGTTAGGCTACTTGGAATCACCTTTCACAAAGCTCTGAATGTGGACTCTCATAGTTAGACCCACCCTTTCTGCTCTCTAACAATTTTTTGAAAGACAGAATTTGCAGATTTGTTGTGGTTTGATGCTGATTTTAGACAAGGCTGCACTGCTCAGAGAATAAGCTAGAATAAGCTGTGGAATCTGTGTGGTTTTCCTTCATGTTAATAAACTGAATCTTATTAAGAAAAATAACCCCTCTTTTTAACACCTATTCAGCTCTTCCTTGGAATAGTCTCTACACTATCCCTGTCCAATAAAATTCTATATTGGTGTTGTCTAATATAGCAACCTCTGGCTACTAGTGGCTATTGAGTACTTGATATGTGGCCAGTGCTACTGAGGAACTGAATTTTTAGTTTTACTTAATTTAAATTTAAAGAGACACACACAGCTAGGGGATACCATATTGGACAGCATAGTTCTATATAGTATCAGACTTGCACAAAAATCAATAATAGTAGAGAACTCATGAAATGTTTTTTCTGGTCAAGTATTACCATATATGTAACTCAGTCTGACATCTAATGCCAATGCTGTAAACATTATACTGTATGTTGAAACTATGGTTGTATTTTTGAATAATGTAAAAGATGCATACTAACACATCATTTTCTGCATATAATTTTACCATACAAATTCATCACCTCTGAACACACTGATAAATTATATGTGCAATTTTTCTGTTTCTACCATATTATTTATGGTGCAATTTTCTACTCATTTTGAAGTTGTATGGATATTGCACAGTATATATGATAGTGTTATATTGGGTCCAAAATCAGAATCACAGAACTTTAGAACTGGAAGGGCCATTTGCATCTAATCTAATTCCCAAACTGTTAAAGCAACTCCTCTTTATCCTATAGCCAACTCTGCCCTAACATTCACCTACAGGTTCTTTTAAAATAATCTTCCTGTGAATAAGGTAAAAACAACATAACTTCCAAATAGAATTAATTAATTAATGTCCCTCCTTATTTTTCTTCTTTTCTATACTGATCTACCTAATGTAAATCACACTATTTTCATTTCACTTATCATATCATAGAACCAAAGCCATAATTCTGAGAATATATGGTATATGTGTGTGTGTCTTTCATTTTTACTGGCCATAGGAATTTCCAAAACTGTCTAGAACATGCACCTAAGTTTGCTGTGGCATGCAGATAAACCAACCACTCAGGGTGAAATAGATCCAGAAGGATACTGGGGGAGTAAGCAAAACTTCCGAATTCCTACTCCATCCATTCACTGGGGAGACAATGCTAACCAGTCTCTTAGAATATCCTACCTGTTTTATTCGGAACTGCTTGCAGATTTTAGCATTTTCAGCATGTATTGAATTTCCCTGCCAGTCATATCTTTTGGAAATCTTTTTCTTAAGGTTCACATAGCTTTCACTCTCCACTATAACTGGTACAGGACCTTCATCCTCATCTGCCTCCTCCTCAGGTTCTGATTCTTTTTCAACTTGAAAGGGATAAAAGGAAACATTTTTGATACAGAGTCCTTTCTTTAGCAAAGGGGGGTGTCACTATCAAAATAACAATGAAAAAAATCACAAAAGAGAGTTAAAGCTTGAATAAAACAGGTTCATTCATTTCAATACTACTACTACTGTTAAAGAACTTAAAACCATCTTCAAATAAACTTTAATCTAGTGTAAGTGGTTACTGTTAAACCAAACTAAAAACAAAGAAGAAAAAGTTATGGCATGCCATGTTAGTCTAGTCTTTACATTCAAGGAATTAATCGAAAGTTTCAACTATTTGCAAGTGTTCCTAAATTTCCATGACACAAAGCAACCCAAATGTCTAGCAAATGATGAATCAATAAACAAAATGTGGTATGATCACTAAGTGGAATACTATTCAGCAATAAAAAGGAATTAAGTACTGATACATACTGTATCATGGATGAACCTATTATTTTAAAAAGTTCATGGTACACAATTTGTCACTTCTCAAGGACTACATTTGAATCCCATGTGTCAGAAGCTGGTATTTGGGAGCGAGTCAAGTGGCTAGTGAGTGAACCCAACCAACCGTGCAGAATCCACACCTTAATGCAATTTCATTATCCTCTACTTTACCTAAGAACTCTTGTGGAATAATAAAAACTTGTTTCTCTGAAAGAATGATGGCAATAAATATGAGAGAATTCTATGATGAACTCTGAAAAGGGGGTTTACTTGTGGTGTAAGAATCTGTACAGCAAAACTGAATCTGGATAAAGCCAGAAGCTTGTACAAACATTTCTTTATTTGAGGCTTTAGGGATTCATGAAGATAGCCCTAAAAGTATTGTTTACTAAAAGCAAGAGGGTATGGATTGGTATAGAAAGAGAAGTATCTCTAAAAACTTAGTTGAAAGTAATTCCATATAAAGTATCAGAAATAAACATGTGAAACCAAATGAATGAGACAGATTTTCTGGGAAGATCCTTTAAAGTTCTTCAAACCTTAATTGCTGAAGTCAGCTTAGATATCACTATAGACTTTCAATTGAGGGAACCCAATCATAGTGACAATATTGGGCCTTACAATTAGTCAAGCCATAGTTCAGAGAATTCTCAGTCCCTTTTTGCCTATGGATTGGGAAGAATAACTATGATCGCCAGGAGATCCTAGACTGCAGAACCTTTGACTTCTTTAATCCATCATTCTGAATGCCCCCCTCCATAATGCCCTCCATATGATCAATGCTTTACATACCTTCTGGAATTTGATTTGAAACAAAAGAATTATTTGGAACCACTGGTTTACGGCACACAGGATTATTCATTCTGGTGATCCCAGAGAATACTGACAGAAAGTTCACAGGAGGAACACTGTACTTGTGATGGGTATTTGTTAGTAGCTTGACTATTTCTGATTCTTCCTCTAAAAGTGTTATTAAAGAATATACAACAGGTTCTGAAGTTTCTGCAAAAGTCAAGGCCTTGCCATAAAGGAACTCAGAAATATGTAAACGACAAGCCAGAGGTAGATTCTCATTGGTGGAATAAAATGCCACAAGGGGAGCTTGGCAGGGGTATTTGTGATTTTTAGAAAATCGAATTTCAAGTTCATATAAAAAAGATGCATCTTCATTAGCATTAAGATGAGAATCATCTACAATTCTTTCTGCTCTTCCAACAATTTGATTTGGGGGTACTTCATGTTTGAATTTGCACTTTGATCCAAATTTACAATTTCCTTTTAGGTAAAATTTACAGATTTCAAGTGAAATCTCCTGTATGTTTTTGGTACTTTCCTTTTGCTTGGATTTGCAGAATTTACTTGTCAAATACTCCAGTTCTAATCCAATGGTCCAGACTCTGTTCTGAATTCTTTCTATAAATTTCTCTCCACAGATTGACTTGAGAGCAAATGCCTCTTCCTGCCGCTGTTCCATACACTCCTCCACGCTTACATGGCCAACAGCCTCAGAGATCTTCATCCTCTCTCCAAATGTCTCTGAAAAACACTGGGTGAGTAAATGTTCTAGAGATGCCCCCACATCTCCATCACAAATCCTCAGGGCTGCCTGGCAGCGTTCAGTGCTGAAACCGTATCTGTCAAGTGCAAAACATGATGAAAAAGATTGAGTAATATCAAATCACAGAAATGAAATTCATTTAAATACATTTATGTGAAGTTATAACTACATACAGGCGGGGTTTGTGTTTTGAAAATGTGCCCCTGATAATACAAATTCCTCCTTAGTCCCCCTCTGCTGAAAAGGAGGATATTAGGCATATCAGGCACTGCTGGAACCATACAATAGGGAAGTTAGTTGAGGGTGAGTGGTCGGGTTTATAACATGACTTCAGTTTCCTTCACTTCTCCCTCAACTCCCATAAATGTTGAAAGCAATCACCTGGAAAGTTTTTGCACTGCATATGTTGAGACGGTATATTCTGGATTATGAGGCTCCCCTGGGCCAGCATATTCCAAAGGGTCAGCATCAGGAACAAGGGACATTTCTCGTCCAGCTGACCAGTACTGCTCATCGTCACATTCAGGCTCATCATCTTCCTCCTCCCCAGAAATGCCTCTTCTGGCAAAGGCAACATTTTCAGATACTTAATATTAATTTCTACTTCAAAGAAAATTTAGCAAGAGTTTAAGAATTTAAGTCAAGGAGCAAAAGGACAGAGAATCCTGAGCATTCTTCAGTTGTTGATTTAAACTTTTATTGATCTATTAATTTCTATCTTGACATTTAACATTTATCAGGTATTTATTATATGCCAGGTACTATGTTAAGTGTTTTAAGTATTATCTCTTTGAAAATTTTCCCAATAACTCAACCAGATATTATTAGAATCTCCATTTTTCAGGTAATCGACTAAAATTTAGAGAAGATTAGTAACTGTCAAAGGTTATAAAGTAAAGAGCAATTAGAATTTTAACCAAGGCAGTCTAACCTCACAGCCTGTATTCTTAACCACAGAAGCCTTGGCTATCCTTTCTCTCTCATCTCATTCTTAAATCCATCACTAAGTTTTTGCTTTGCTGCATAACCACCTTTCCTAAGTGTAAAACAGATAAGAGATTTATAGATGGGATGGAAATTGAGCTGTTCATGACTGACTACTCATTATTTCTGGCAAAGGGAAAGAATTAACTTCTTTGAAATCACAAATCTCTTAGAATATCCTACCTGTTTTATTCGGAACTGCTTGCAGATTTTAGCATTTTCAGCATGTATTGAATTTCCCTGCCAGTCATATCTTTTGGAAATCTTTTTCTTAAGGTTCACATAGCTTTCACTCTCCACTATAACTGGTACAGGACCTTCATCCTCATCTGCCTCCTCCTCAGGTTCTGATTCTTTTTCAACTTGAAAGGGATAAAAGGAAACATTTTTGATACAGAGTCCTTTCTTTAGCAAAGGGGGGTGTCACTATCAAAATAACAATGAAAAAAATCACAAAAGAGAGTTAAAGCTTGAATAAAACAGGTTCATTCATTTCAATACTACTACTACTGTTAAAGAACTTAAAACCATCTTCAAATAAACTTTAATCTAGTGTAAGTGGTTACTGTTAAACCAAACTAAAAACAAAGAAGAAAAAGTTATGGCATGCCATGTTAGTCTAGTCTTTACATTCAAGGAATTAATCGAAAGTTTCAACTATTTGCAAGTGTTCCTAAATTTCCATGACACAAAGCAACCCAAATGTCTAGCAAATGATGAATCAATAAACAAAATGTGGTATGATCACTAAGTGGAATACTATTCAGCAATAAAAAGGAATTAAGTACTGATACATACTGTATCATGGATGAACCTATTATTTTAAAAAGTTCATGGTACACAATTTGTCACTTCTCAAGGACTACATTTGAATCCCATGTGTCAGAAGCTGGTATTTGGGAGCGAGTCAAGTGGCTAGTGAGTGAACCCAACCAACCGTGCAGAATCCACACCTTAATGCAATTTCATTATCCTCTACTTTACCTAAGAACTCTTGTGGAATAATAAAAACTTGTTTCTCTGAAAGAATGATGGCAATAAATATGAGAGAATTCTATGATGAACTCTGAAAAGGGGGTTTACTTGTGGTGTAAGAATCTGTACAGCAAAACTGAATCTGGATAAAGCCAGAAGCTTGTACAAACATTTCTTTATTTGAGGCTTTAGGGATTCATGAAGATAGCCCTAAAAGTATTGTTTACTAAAAGCAAGAGGGTATGGATTGGTATAGAAAGAGAAGTATCTCTAAAAACTTAGTTGAAAGTAATTCCATATAAAGTATCAGAAATAAACATGTGAAACCAAATGAATGAGACAGATTTTCTGGGAAGATCCTTTAAAGTTCTTCAAACCTTAATTGCTGAAGTCAGCTTAGATATCACTATAGACTTTCAATTGAGGGAACCCAATCATAGTGACAATATTGGGCCTTACAATTAGTCAAGCCATAGTTCAGAGAATTCTCAGTCCCTTTTTGCCTATGGATTGGGAAGAATAACTATGATCGCCAGGAGATCCTAGACTGCAGAACCTTTGACTTCTTTAATCCATCATTCTGAATGCCCCCCTCCATAATGCCCTCCATATGATCAATGCTTTACATACCTTCTGGAATTTGATTTGAAACAAAAGAATTATTTGGAACCACTGGTTTACGGCACACAGGATTATTCATTCTGGTGATCCCAGAGAATACTGACAGAAAGTTCACAGGAGGAACACTGTACTTGTGATGGGTATTTGTTAGTAGCTTGAC